CAGCTTCAATAGACATGGAACAGTCGCATGCCAAGAGGGAGTGGATTAAAAATAAAGAGAAAAAGAGAGAGAGAGATTCTTAAGAGAGAGAAAGGGGGGGGGGGGGACAAGCCATCCTGTCAACTAGAGCCTAAATAGACACAGGCAGACAAAGCAGCCCGCCTCCAGGGTGAGACAGACTTTTCAGAGTGAGGTTAGAGTGCAGGCCTACAGTACAGCACAAGGTAATGAATGAACGTTTATCAGCAGTTTAACCTGTAGCCCTTCACTACCACAGGTTAGAGAAGAAGAGATGACGAGAGTAAGAGACACCAAGGGTCTAAGGAACCGACAGAGGGAGGTACAAAAGGCATTATTGGAGGTCAAGAAGCAATATGAAGAGCACTTGGTAGAAACAGGAGGAAGCAAGAAAGGTAAAATGAGAGAGAAGAAGGGGTAATAGGAGTGATGTGAGACAGTAGGAAAGACACAAAAGGGGGAGAGGAGGGGACAGCAAAGAAATGACAAGGCATTGGAGAGAAAAAGGTGGGAAGGAAGAGACAAGTGGAGAAAGAAAAGTGTGAGATGGGAAAGTTGGACGATGAATTGTGGATGAATTAGGAAATAAAGGTAAATGGAGGAGAGAGTAAATTAGGAATATTAGGAATTTGAAAAGGAAGTACTGTAGGGGAGTGGAGAAGAAAGCAAGGTAGAAGGATCGAGGGCGAGTAAGAGATGGTGGAAGCAAGAGGTTGACAATGTAAGTAGAAGGGACAGCGCAATATACGTTACACCACTTCAGCTCTGTCCCACGGAAAAAGAGAATACGATGGAGGGAGGGAGGGAGGAGAAAATGAGCGAGGCGAGAGGTGGTGTAGAGAAAGGAGCCAATTGTTTGGCCTGCAGGGAGAAAAGAGTTTCCCTGGCCTGTTACCAACAAGTCTAAGCCTCCCTGCGATGGAGAAATGAAAGGAAGGAGGGATGGATGGAGGGAGGAAGAGGAAGAATGAGGTGGAGAGTGTGGGGAGGAGGGAGGGCTCTCAGCTTTACAGAACAAAATGACTGAAACAGCAGGTTACTCGTGGCTTTTGCACCAGTTTGTCTGATGGAGGGGTGAGGTGCGGGGGGGAGATTAAGCAAATTATGGAAACTAAGAAATGCAAGAACGCAAAAATCCAACCTCAGGAAAATAAATTTCCCCATTGATCTTGTGTCTTATAGATGTGTTTCAGTATGTTTGCGTCAAGCAAGACAAAAACAATTCTTTAAAAAGAACAGAATGTGAAAACAGCACATGTACAGGCTGTGATTCTTATTTATTCTTCCAGCCAGTTGTTAAATCACCGAAATAACAGACATCTGTTCATTTCCATGTGTATACTGCCTGCCTCAATGGAGTATTTGTCCCTGCTAACAAAGGGACTTTTAAAAGGTGAGTTGAAGTACAATGGGGAACAAGACGGCAGACTAAGAGGAAGTGATGAAGAGGAGCAGGAGAAACAGGAGGGAAGAGGCAGGATGGATGCAAAAGGTGAGTCAAGTGGGGAGTTGGTCGGGGGAGTTTTTTCAACTACTACACTGAAAGCGTTAACGTTTCCTCTAAATGGTGAAGAGTGACAGTTCTTCTTTATCCCACTCACCACATAAAAAACAGTTAAATTTAAATTGAAGCATGACTTTCTCATAATTTTTGTCATGATAAAACACATGTGAAATGCATTGGAATTGTATGCACATGTTCCATGCCACGTTTTCATTCTGGCATTTTACTGCTATTTGAACCATGCATTTGCCAAGTGTGCATGATATACAGCATATCAGAGCCCAGAGGTGTAATGGTGTGTGCGTGCATGCTTTGCATTCATCACATTGTCAAGACTAACCTCCCATCTGGGGACAATTTGTGACTTGAACCAGACAAGGTTAACCATTTATCCTAGTGTTAAAAGTTTGCTTTCAAGGCCGATGTTGGGGAAATACAACTTACGTTTACTGTTAAAGATTAGGGTTGGTGGTGATCAGCATGTAAGTATGTGATAGTTAAGGTTGGAAAAATCCTCTAGAGACTGAATGCGGGTCCGTTTCTTCACAAGTACTGTATTGTACAAGTGCAGCCACAATCTCAAAAGTTGGACCTCTAAACTCACTACATTCCGTCCTCGGCTGTTAAAGAAAATCCTTGAGAAATGAAAAACGATAACACATGAAAGCAGGACTCCTCAAATGTGGAGAGAGAAGCAAGAGAGGAAGAGCAGGTGAAGCAGGGCGGCTTGGCTGCATGCCAACATGCTGCAGACTATCACAAACGAGTTCTAGAGGAAGCAGAATGCAGCGAGCAAGTGAAAAAGTATGACTTTTACAATGACTGCAGCTAGGACCACGTTATTGTTTAGAACCATGAGATAGCTTTGTTTCAGAGCAGAGAGCTGAGCATGTGTCACATTTCTGTTGAAAACTGAGAAAAGAAACAAAGGTTGATTATGGCAGATCTATTGCGAACTAAATGGAAATTAGTATAATACAGTTCGGTGTTATGATACATTGATCCATCAATGAATTCATTTTGAAAGTCAGACCCACAGTAAGAGTGAAGGTGAAAGTTAGGGAGGAACAAGCCTTTACAGTGATCTGCAGGAACGCAAAGCGTAAAAAGCTCAGTCACATGAATGTTTAGGAAAAGTGTACCGTGTACTATGGATTAGAAGTACAGTGTTGTTTTCAGTGGAGGGACTCGGGACAAAACTGGTTACATGAGTAAATGGAAGTTTCATACACACACACACACACACACACACACACACACGCACACACACAACCGTCAAAGTAAAGCAGCTATAAGCCAAAAGTGATTAGGAGTCTTTATGGGATTTAAACTGAAAAAAAAAAGAAGTGAGAAAGGGAAAGCGAGACGATCTGGGGCTCGAGAGCTCAGTAGTTCTAAAAGACACGAAGTAAATGAAAGAGCCAGGAAGGTTACATCGCTCTGATGGTCGCTGGGGCCGAGCCACCTGGCCCGGCATCATTAATGGAAAGTTTCCCAGCCTGTGAACCCGTATTTGTGTCTAAAATGCAAGTGCACCCTCCCAAGCCCTTATTATTGATATCTTTTAATAATATTTTAGCTTTTATCAGTCAGGCTTGCACAGCCTGATACATTGCAATGTAGAACTGCCTCACTATGGTCACAAAAATGCTTAAACCTCTCATCTGGTATAACAAGCTCTGAAAAAAAGAGACAATGAAGGAGCCGCTAAGGCGATGGCAGCCTGCTGGTAGCTGGTAGTCGGCCATTTGGCCGTGTTAAACCCAGGAGCGGCAGTGAGTCGGGACCTTACAGAGCTGCCTCTGGTCTCCTGACTGGAGCTACTCCAAACAGCTCTCTGGGAGAACACAACTCACTTTCAACCTGGTTCTCTGAGGAAGAAGCCCATGTGTCATCATCAGCGTGACTGGTAAAAAGATATTTGGGTTTGTAATGGCTCAGTAATAGCATTGCTGCACAAGATCAGGTCACAAGCACAGCAGGCTGAGTAGTGACTCTTTCATCAGGAGTTCCACTCCGTCTGTGCTGAAGTTGTTTTGTGATTGAATGTTTTTCGAATACAAAATGAAACGAGTATGTGGTTAAAGTCAATACCACTAAATTTAATATACTATTGTCAGAAATCCCCAAATCCTTTCTGTGGTGCATCATTATCTGAATAATAATAATTGAATAATAATGAAAACATGTGAGGGAGGAAAGCAGTAAATATTCCTGATTGGACCAATAAATATCAACTCACCTGTCCATCCGTTTCCAGGTGCACCAAATTCCAAAAAAAGTTCAGAATATTCCAAGTCAAGATCAGTGTCCACTTGAGCTCGATGTGCTTCGAACAGCACTGACGGTTTTCAGAGTTACTGTACTGCTTTTTCCTGTTTGACCTAATAATCTTTCCATTGCAATACAAAATAAAACAAACATGTCCATACGAGACAAACCCTCTTGATTATATACTATCAGAATAGAAAGTGCTGTATGTACACACACGAGCTCTCACGTGTCTAAATTCAATGAGAATGAACAGAAAAGTGGAGGTAAATCTTAGAATTTGAGAGTCCAGGAAATGAGAGGATGAATAAAAATTGTGAAGAAAAAGAATCTATTCAGAAATAATCAATAGATTTAAGTAATTTTCAGACAGCAGTGGCAAAAAAAACTTTAGTAATTCCAGTGATGGGAATGGTGCCTGGAGGGCAGAAAGAGAGCAGCGGCAGAGTCCCACTCTGGTGCGAAAAGTCCAGCGAGTCTTAAAAAAAGTCCAAAAAGCAGCCGGTGTGTGAGTTCAAAAGGGGTGCAGTGAGATCTGAGTATCCCCCTGTCTGCAGTCAGCTCCACTGATGAACGGCTGCACTCCAGCTCCACTTAGAGAAGCACACAACCCCTATGCACACACATAGAACTCTTCTTAACACACACACGAGAGGAGTTCACACACACACACAGTTTTCATAGAAGCTGAGCAGAGGAGAAGTGCTCAGAGGGAGAGCAGGCAGTAATAATGGACTTAATTCAAGAGGGGAGAGAGAAAGAAAGAGAGTCAGGGAGGGAGGGGTTGAAGAGAGGAGGGGAAGGTGGGAGGTGAGAGGAGGGGAGTGGAAAGGGGCAGGGACATGCGCTATGTTGTTCTCAATGTGTGTGTGTGCTACTGTATATTTGAATTGGTACCCGTCTAAAACTTCACTGTCCATCAGTGTGATCAGTGACTTTGATCAATGTCTAATGAGACTTTATTAAAGCCTCAAGAGAGCAGCAGAGACTCCCTCTGGTAATTTGGACTTGGGTCCGTCTTAAAGGCTTCTATTCACATTGTGATTGTGGGCTGTCCCAGTTGAAAGTGAACATTGAAGAACAATAGTGAGAGAAACGCAGTCAAACACAGGAGTTTAGAGTCCTGCGTGAAACCGAAAATCGATTTATACTTGGCCACTTGTCACACATGATGCACCGTCCATATCTTACAGTACTTTACATTCAAAGCGTACTTATTTCAAGCCAAAACATGATGTTTTTTCTAAACCTAAGTGATCTTTGTTGCCTAAACCTAAACAAAGTTAACCAAGTGTTACAATGCTCACCACGTGCAAGCCTTCAGCACAAAAGGCTGCATCCGGCGTGATCTTATCACTACTCGACATATTGCGAGCAAGGTTTTCTTGGACCTATCTGGAACAGTGTGACATGGGATGAAGCCAGATCACTGTTGTTGCACAGCGTGTACAGGCCTCAAGTCACAAAGAATGACTCTTGGGTGTAACTGCTGTGAGATGTGACTTGACTAGAGGCCTGACTTGAACCTTACTCTGACAGACACATGACTCCCCTCAAAATACTTAAAAACAGCTCTGATATACAGTGTACACAAACAGAAAGACAGATGTCCTGACACAATAAAATGACGACATGCTGGTGTGGACAGCATGTAGGCTGATAAGCCACTGTAAATACAGTAAGAGGGTAATTTGCACACATTGATAACATATGAGGGTTTACATCATCGTGTACACAAATCAAAGTTGAAGTATGGGTCAGCTATTCATGACAACCAGCCCCTGAACACATGAATGTGTGAAAAGCTTCAAATGTAAGGAGAAAAGTTTCACTGATATGAAGTTTTAAAAACATGCCAGGCCAGAGTTTGAGTCATTAAAGTGCCAGTGGGTAGATCTTAAAGTTTTTCTTAACTTTTTTTGGTATTTCTTATTTTACAGACATTTGCGTTAGTTAGCTTCAACACAGTCAGTTACAATGTATTCCTTTGATGACAAGTTTTCACGAGGGACAAAAAAAAGTATCAAAGCATCCATTCAACTTGTCGAACAACTACTGCAGCATAATCCTCTCCTCTGCTGTCCACTGATATGCTCAGTATTTAGGTCTGGATGGAGTTTACCATTAAAAGTTATGAGTTTATAGACAAAATTACCTATGGAGTTTAATGATCATGCATCAACATGTTTAAATTTTAAGCCAAAATCCGAATCCTCAATTGGTGCACATGTGCTTGTTCCACCATTACTCTGCATGTCCATATTTTCTCAACTCGCCCCAGTCCTTTAATCTTCATTCCAACGGCAGGTGCAGTGATGTGCTTGGCAACCCTGACACACACACACTCTCACACACACACACCTACAAACCCACTCTCACCAGGGTAGGGTCCCCATACAGAGAGGTCAGAGGTCTCACATTAGGGGGCTCACTGCGGTATGTGTGTGTGTGTGCTGTATTCACATCTGCCTGTATTTCTACACACAATGCACACTTGCCTTCAGTGCTTTAAAACACTTTCGTGCACTTGGGCACAATTAAAGCTATTGGTGTATGTTTGTGTGTGTGCGCTTGTGCTTGTGCAGTGTGTTTTCAGCCCACTGCCTGCCCCCTGCTGACCTGTCTGTCATAAACCAGTCTGATGTCTCTACAGACTGCAGAGTGAGCGCTGTGATCCTGACAAAGGCTTTTGTCTCAGCCAAAGCCTCTGTGCTTTTGAAACAGATGAGGGCTCAGTTTCCTAATAGCGTGTTAGTGAATCTTTGTTTTATGTCAAATCAATGAACCGAAATGATCTTTCGATTGCTGTGAGACCACAATCAGGCTGGTATCTCCCACGTTGGAGTCTCCCCCTGTGGTCTTATTCAATTAAGGTATTTCATGAAAATATATAGAACAGAAAAGAAGAAAAAAAAAGCGTTAAAAGTGGAAATCTGATATGGATCTTATCATATTTACCAACATAAGTCATCTTCACATTGTAGACTACAGCAGGCCTACAATAGAATGAGTTCAGTAATTCAACTGTTTTAAACACCTGAACAGCTCTGCATCAAGAATATTTAGATTTCCTAAAAGAATACTATATTTTTCATAGTGTTCTGCAATGATTTGTATTATATTAATGAAGAGCGAACCATCGGTGTATAATTCTAGTTGAAGAATTCTGCAGATTAGCTTGACTGTATATGTTTATATTTACCTCTCATTGTTGAAAACATGAAGTAATATATAATATTACCTCTACACAATACCTAACCCTACATATTAAATGTTAAATAACAGTGGGTTGGTTTGATAAGGTGTTTTGTCGAATGTTTTATATTGTTTAATCAGACGAGCAGGAATGCTCACATGACAACACTAATTACTGTACTTTAATTATTAAGGGAGTCTATTCTATTATTTTTAGACAAATACAGAAAATAACCAAAATACTAATACCGTCAGAATGTACATTAGAATGTACTCAGCAGCAATAGTAACACTAACTTGAGTAGCTGCTCAATGGCAGCCGCCAAGAAGCTCAGCTACCTTCTACTTCTGGTGCATAATAGAAATATACAGTCAGCACCAGACCTAGAATAGGTCTATCAGGTACAGTATTTAGAAATAGGAAATCCATATTATATGAATATTAATGTGTCAATGAATCATTTTTGAAGGCAACCTTAAACTTAACACATAACAGGTGCCTTAGTGTTTAGACGTCATGCTTCATTGAAGTTAATGATACCACATTGTCATTAAAAACTGCACCTAATAACAGCGCTGTGGAAGCAGAGTGATATTTTTGGCACATAGTCTATGACTGGATATTGGCTTCCAGTAGTCATTTCAACATCTCAAGATGTAGCTGTGGAGTTCACCAGCCATTGCGTTCTCTTCTCTGGAGTAGGAGAACACATTGTCACTGTGTTCGATTTTGACGGATGTCTCCAGAGAATGTGTGGCTTTTGTTGGATGGGGGATTTGGATGAAGCCTCCTACAGTCAAGTAGCCAGCATGCGATGAATATTGCGATAGGCATTTTACCATGGCATTTGAAGTTTTTTTGATGCACGGTCACTGCCACACCACTTCATGGATGAGTATGTTGTCAAGGAGCCAATTCATGAGGCAAAATAAAGCACTTTTTGGCATCATCATGCCGGTGATGCCACTCTTTCTGGACCAAACTGGCTTTGTAGTAGACATGCTTTCATTCTATTAATATTAGTTCAGTTTGACCTACTGTTTACATATGCTCTCCTCTTATCTCACATCTCTGTAGATTTAGCTACATCTACAGAGGCTCTTAGCATTGTTGCTCCACCTCAATGAGGAATCCTGCCGGACAGATGCAGATTCTTCAAAAGCAAAGGAGGGACAATAGATTCAACCGGCATGTATTTACGGCAGGCTGGCCATAGTGTGACACCTGCCAACATTACAAGTGTTGCATTATAAACATTTGCTCAGCAGATGCAGAAATATCCAGGCCCGCTGACCCAACATAAAACAAATTCCAGTACTAAGTGGATCAATAGCAACATTGCAACTGTGGAGGGTGTGCTGCCAGCTGTAACCACATGCCAATCTCATCTATGTGAGTGTAAAGTATGTGTGCGTGTGTGGAGTGAATTTGTCTATTATTAGCATCCACAGTTGTGGGTCAGGAGTTGAATTTAGACGGGGTAGAACAAAAAGCCTTTTTAGTGTTATTTGGGGCTTTGTGCTTAAGTAGCGTTTGTGTATCGCCAATGAAGTGTGGCTGAGTCTGCAAGGCCAGAAATCTAGCAACAATGAAAAAGTTTGAAAAGCAAGATGAAGGACAGAACAAAACAATAAAATACATTAAGGAAAATAGGAAAAATTAAAAAGACATACAAATAGGGTAGTTGGGCTATTCAGGCTCAGCTAGCTGGCTCTGCATATCCAGCTGTACTATATGTGTCCTGACAGGTCGTCCATGACATGGTGCCCTGGCCTCCTGACACCACAGGGATTATTTGGTTCCCAGTGGAGAATGGCAGGAACGGAAGAGAGAGAGAGAGTTACAGTTAGAGGGGGAGAGGTCTTGCTTGGGAACCCTAGAGGCACAGAAACCTGTAATCCTCCCTGTTTCACTTTGATGTGATCACACCCAACTGAAAGGATGGAGGATAAAGGGGGGGGGGGGCTTGTTTGGCCTGTCAGGAGGGCAGTATGGGTTGTTCGGTGGGGGGACTGACTGTGGTGCCAGGAGGCTCATAGGTAGGACACACACTCTCACAGGCACGCAGTCACACACCATCTGGCTCTGAGGGTCACCGGGTGGATAAGACCACCTTCAAGCATAAGCTTTAGTGACACATTTCCACACACACCTCCGAGCAAGTTCTGAAGGTCACTGAGTGGATTACAGCATCTTGCATTAACACGGCTTTGTTTCTTTCACACACACACACACACACACACACACACACACACACACACACACTTGCAATAAGCAGTATTTTTCGGTGGAATGAACATTGCTCCACTAGTTCCCACAACTATTATATCTAGCTGGCTGATCACCAGATAATGAAAGCCTGCATCTCCTGGATGGGGGCATTTCTTTAGGTCTGTGAATCAGAAAAGATTGTATCAACTAAATCTGCCATCACATATGTATTAAGACATGCATTATAATGTATTTTAAAACAATGTTAAACAAATATATACACTGCCAGACCTAAGTAATCACTCTCTATGCATCACTATTTTCAGCA